CAACGCCTGGCAAGCACCAAGTCAAACCAAGGTGAACATCTCAAACAGCTCCCGAGACTTTATGTTGGTTTGACTCACTAAAAGTTCGAGACATTCACCTCGGGCGCGGTGCTGTTCTGAGGCTTTCTTGGACCGGTTCCTAGACGCTGGACACTCTTGTCTCAGTTGGAGCTCAGCTTGTTCAAAGAGCAAGTCGTCCTGTCTTAAGCACCTCCTCTAAAGCCCCATTCGACTTGGACAAGTCATCCTTGGTGAGAACATCTGCCACCATTCGTGGGTGAGGAGCCCACCTCACAGTCGTTCCAGCTTTGCGAATTGAGTTCAAGATGATAGCTAGTTCAATTGCGGTCCTACGATCTTGTCGTGAGGTGGGAGCTTTGTTGATGGCATCGTACAGACTTTTTGCGTCCGTGATTGCTCCTTGCTTCAAGCTACTCTTCATCTTACAATCCTCTCGAAGCACGGCCACAAAAGGAGTCAAGGATTGAGTCCAGTCGGAGAGTTCAACGTCTCCCCAAAGCACATCTCGAATGAGCATCTGGAGCCATTCTAGTTCACTCAAGGCCTGGTTGAAGGCGAGGGCCTCTCCCGCTAGGGTTGAAGACACGCGCCTTTTCAGCTTTGAAGAACGCCAAGAAAGCAAGCTGACTTTCACCTTCTTTGAAGCCGAGGCACGGTGTCCTCCAGGCTCTCTCCCTCCAACTCATTGGACACTTGCTTGCCGGCCACTCCACCCGCGTCAGACGCGGCGGTCAGCAACATCTTGTTGTTGTCGAATCTATGAAGGACCAATGGTTGTTGTGCTGTTTGCCTCATGTGAGCTATGGCTTTGTTCAAACAAGACACATCGCGCACGGTGTCCTGAGGCCAAACGATTCATTTGGTCCTGTGCGCCGAAGCTCTTGAAGAAAATCAAGTTCTGGTCTGTGTCGATCACGCTCTTCGCGTGTTCCAAAAGTCCTATTGACAACAACTGCGGAACATCTTCTTCTACCACCGTCAGCTTGATGACCCCGGGCTTGCCTCCCAGGATGCACGGGGTGAGAGCATTGAACAAAGTTTTGGCCTGTCCGCCAAAGCCAGATGCTGGGTCCGGCGGCTGCTCCAGCTTGACAGCACGAAGCCCTACACTGGCCAACTTCTGCTGTAGCCGTTCGAAACTCTTCAACCCGATGAGGTCTTGAGAGGCCCCTGGGTCGATGATTGCCCCCCCTGCTGGGAGTTGCAGGAAGGAGAATTGGTTTTGCCCAGCTGCCCAATTTCCGCCATCCACCTCGAGCAGCGAAGCCAAAAAGAATCCGCTTGATGCTGGTTCGCTGCCTCCTGAGCCAAGAAACACGAACGCATTGCCACCTGGTCGTGCTCCTTTGGGACGATGGGGCTTCTGGCATTCCTCATGCCAGTGGCCCTTTTCTCCGCAGTTTCCACACTTCGTCACCTTCTTGAGCTCCTGGATGGAAAGTCTTCTCTTCGTGCTGGACCTTGGTGGCCTCGAATCCTTCTGATCGAAGTGCCTGCGGTCTTTCTTCTGTGCAGCCTTCAACAGCCTGTTCTCTTTCCACGTTCTCTTTCGGTCGGAGCCCAGCTCCGCCAACAGGTTCATCGCCTCGTACTCGTCGACGTCCTGGTACTCCAAGGCCACGAAAATCTCTTCGTCCTGATCAGGCTCATAGTCTCCCTCCGACTCCGCCTGCTCGATGTCTAGGAGGTAGGAGGGTTTCTGACCCTTGATCATGGACTCTTCCTCACAGTCGAGGACTTGCAGTGCCTTTCGAACCTGTCGATAGTCGTGTTGCCCGCCAGTGAGCGTGCGCAGGTTCTGAGCTCCCTGTCTTGACAACCCGGCCTGCTCTTCCAACATGATCCCCTTGAGCTCCTCCGGAATGTCCATGAACCGCCTGGCATTCTCGAACTGCGCATCTCGTCGGAGGGCGTATTCAGCCAACGACTCATCGTTTCTGCGGGCCCCCTCATAGAGAGCTGCTCTCACTCTTCTTCTCTTTTCGGTGTCTTCCTTTTCTCCAGCTAGCACGTCCAGAACCGAGAAGATCTCCGAGAGGAAGCTGGTGGATGCCAACGTGGTTTCCGACAGGTGATCTAGCTTCGACTGGAGTTCCCAGTCCAGCGACTTGAGCACCTTTTCCGCTCTCCTCCAAACCGCCACATCCGTGTTGCCATCCCATCGACGGAGAGCCCTTCTCCACAACCTATAGTTTCCCCATCCAGCCCACGAGGGCGGGTCAGCATAGTCCCCTTTTCCGCCGGAGGACCACCAAGAGCTCGAGGTGTTCCACCCGCCGGGATGTTGCCATGGTTGCTGCCAGGGATCTCCGTGAGTCCACGGATCTGGCCTGGAAGGAGCTGCTGTCGTCTCCGTGCCATGACCTGCAGGTTGCGAGGATGAAGACTCCGGCCTAGTAGAAGCCGACCAATAGACTGGCTTTTTCCAGTCTCCCCAGGAACCCCACCGACTCCTATTCCATTGCCTCCACTCCTCGTCGGACCAGACTTGTCGAGTAGCCAGCTCGCTGGCCTCATTGGTCTCATTCTCATGATCTGGCTTTTCGCCTTCTTCCACTCCAGACATGAAGGCGGGCCCTGGTCAACAAGCCAGAGCTCCGTCTACCACTGTTGAAATCTTGAAGACGCTAGAAGCGAACCTTTTCGACACCGACCATGGCGAAAGCG